TACCATTATACCTCAAATGTACCATACTTTACATACCTTCGCTGTTGACATCCCTCATGTTATCACCATTATATATTTACATATCTTACGGGGACTCATATTAATAATATCACATGCCACCAAGGAACGAGCCGCTTACATGAGAATTGGTCCATAATCGTATAAACGGTGCATGCCTGCATATTCAGGAACGAGTTGTATTATCAACAATACCAAACAGTTGGTTTGTGATAAGTGAAAAGTTATACTGATCGCCTTACCTTCAAACGGATTTGTAGACATCTGTCATGAGGATTAATCGAGCCTACACCACTTTCAAGTCCAGCCTTGCGGCTCAGCGTGATGAACACCAGGGACTTTCAACGAGATGTGGCACTAGAAGAATGTCTCCTGAGACGAATGATCCGTAAAACGGAAAAACCCGGCAGTGGTGAGGTGAACTAATATTGCCATTCTTGTTCACGTTCCTGGGCTACCCAGTAATCGTTTCTAAGAAAAACGACAACCTGGTCGTCATTAATCGGAAGCACTGTTCTGAACAATTCAGTTGGATGTTGGTCAGTTGGGCCATTTAGGCCGTGAAAAAGCTGTTATCTGCGGCAACAGAAGTCCTCACCACTAACGTACGAGGGAAGGATGTCCTTCAGTTATCTAAAAACAAACAATTCTCTCTCGAGCACCACAGCAGCATCAGACAGGTTTTACGCTGCAAGAAACGCTGCGTACATTACGAGTGTGTACCCACGTCATGACGGAAAAGTGAGATTCGTCTTAAGCTGAATGACGAACCTGAGACCAACGAAGCTAACCAGACCAGTCCCATCGTGCAATGTATACGCTTGTGGGAAAGCAACACTATGTGAATGTGCGAACGGAGGTCAGAATTCAGGAAGGATATGAAAGCACAAAGCCATATATCCTATCCATGAGTTTGTTCCACTCTCAAGTTCAAAGTAATTCAGATCTCCCTGGGTAATAGGCAACTCTGCTTGGAAATCGCTTGGACCAAGAAGACACTGCTAAGCCGGAGAGGACAAGAACAGTAAGGTGTGCACATAAATACCATTTAAACATACAGGAAACATATACACAGGGGCAAAGTGAGCTGTAAGGCACTGGCGTTAAATTCTGCTGACTAGCATCTTTGTTTCCCTACGCCGCATTCTTCTGGTAGTTGAAAGCAGGAGCGTCTCGGCCGCCTACCTCTTAGGAGCCCACCAGTAACTATACTGAAGCAGAAGAACTCTTGGTCGATCGGTATTTGCAAACCTTTACGTCGTAGACCACACGTTCACACGTATACGAATATTTCACTGTAAATTAAAGGGCTCTGTATTGGACCTACATACTGAACAAGCAGCAGCAAGTCACCACTGCTCAAATGAGATGCTCCTCCACTACGGCACAAAATCCACATGGCGGTTCTGTGGAGGGGTGCACAACTCTCTTAACTTCTAGGTGGGTTGGTTGACGATTCTGTGGGTCAGCGAGGAGCGTCAAATCCTTTGAAATTATGTCACAACGTAGCTTTCTAAAAGGGTTCAACAAAACGATATTCAGAATCACAGATCAGTGACTATCCTGACCATAGCTTCCGAAGTAATGGAGTCGTTAGTTTATGATAGATCAAAGGATCACTTCATGTCGATCAACTTTATTACACTCTGAACCCGCTAACTTAGAACGGGTAACTCGTGTGTTCCTCACCTGCTAACCACAGTAATTAGTATGGCTCAACGTCGACGCGAGATTGTTATTATTCACATGGACTCTTTTAGGGCGTTTGACCATGTCAGGCGCAACTACCTTATCGATAAACTGAGGCAAGTCAAGATCGACCCACTGCTCATCAGTTAGCTTCCATCACTTGTCCCCTTCTTTAGAGTTCAGGTAGACTTTTCTACATTTGGAGCAACAAAACGTTAAGTTAAAGTTCTCCAGATACGAATACTAGCGTCTCTTCATTACTCGGTATAAATGAATAACTTGCTGGAAGATGGTTGTTTGGAAATCTTCAACTTCACAAACGGCGTGAAACTACGAAGAGGAGTCAGAGGTAAGAAATATGGTTTCCCGGAGGGGAAATTTGACCAGACCTGGAAAGCCGGAGGACGACAGCCGGTTTACGCTTAATTCTGATGAATATAACGTTTTACATCTGAGGCACGATGCATGTCACGCACGTGGTTTGAATGGCACGGAACCACAATAGTCACCAGTGAAGAAAGATTTCGGCCATTCAGCTCCGCAAAACATTGAATCCCAGGCTACTTGCTACAGAACTGCGTCATGTGCCAAGCTGCCGAAAGGAATCCTCGAGAAGACGTTTGAGCGGTTTAACTATGCATAAATTCACAGAACCTGCAACAGATTAATACGGCCTCACTTGCATTTCGTAACTGTCCTTCCACCGCATTCATTACGAAACAACAAATGACAGCTTGAAATCCTCTAGAAGAGATAGATTATATCTGCCGAACAACTTTAGCCCACGGCATACAGGGGATGATTGGTAGCGATTGAACCATATCTTCCTGAAAATGGAAAAACGAAGTGGCGCTCGGCAGTGTGATGTGATTTTGCTTTTCTAATGTATTCGGAAATACTTATCATCCACTTTGCTCGACTTGGCATGCAACTGAACGCGTCTCCATCCGGCCAAAACTGCCAAATGTCCCGGCATCACCCAGCGCCGCGAAAAGCAGTAAAGCTGCCCGGAATAAAGGTAATTCCAGCCATGGTCTTCGAAAAGCTATCAAAGCCCTGTGTAGGGAAATCACCAGGGTGTGACGACATCCGACCGACTGCGTTGAAACAATGCGCGGGTGCCTTGTGAGGTCCGCTGTGTAACTTGTTTTAACACTCCTTAGACAGTCACATGCTTCCATGAGAGTGGAAAAGTGCTATTCTGTCCCCCATCTTCAAAGGTGGAGACAGGCAGAACCCAAAATGCTACCGACCCATAGCTCTTCCACCAATGGTGTCGAAAGCAATAGAGAGCCTTGTAGACGACTACGTCAGGGAGTATCTGGAAAAGAGGGGAGCACTAGTGATACTCGACATGGTTTTAGAAAGGGTAGATCCTGGGCCTTCGACACAGTCCTGCACACCGATCTTATTCACAAGATATCAAGGTTTGGCATCAGGAGCCATGTACTCTCCTGGCTACGGCACTATCTAGACGGCAGACAATTCCGCACGAAAGCCAACACAGCCTGCTCGACTTGGAGGACATCATCATCTGGTGTATCATAAGGGCGATTCTGGGTCCGCTGCTATTCCTTCTTTTTGCGAACGACCTCCTATTGAATCTCAACCCCCCAATTCTACTCTACGCTGATGATGTTAGGTTATGGAGAGCTGTGACGTCAGAAACAGAATCTAGCGCACCGCAAAGTGATCTCAGATTACTCGCAGAGTGGGTAGACATTAATGTACTATCATTTAACCCAGATAAATGCCGAGCCATATTTCTCCACACCCCAGACTCTCAGAAGGTGCCGTATTCTCTCTGTGGAACACAACGTTCCCATACCACCACGGAGAAGGACCTAGGACTAATACTGACTGACAAGCTGGACACCAGCTCCGGTTATCCAGGAGACGCCTCCAGAGCCTACGGAGCACTGCACTTTATGCGCAGACACCTAGGTGCCCTGACCCCAGAACTCTTCTTGAAGTTGTACAAAACCCACACGCTACCGTGCCTAGCGGTCCACAACGTCATCACACCACCATATCTGAAAAGAGACTTGAACCTCCTAGAGAAAGTCCAAAGGCGAGCTGCAGAGGGTGTCGTGGGAATGAGGCAAAAACCATACCAGGACAGGCTGAAAGATCTAGGACTCTGCCCCCTAAGCTACCGCAGATTACGCGGTGACTTGATTAAGGCTTACAAAATACTCAGTAACCCAAGTCATCCGAACAGTGGAATCTTACCGGACGGCCACTGCGGCGATCCTCGTGGTAACCCAAGGAGAATCGCCCAACAAAGAGCGAAAAACCGCGTGCGATCACACTTCTCTCTGCGAGTTTGCGGCCACTGGAACGCATTGCCTGCTGAGATTGCCACTACTCCGTCTGTTGACAGCCTCAAGAAGAGGTTGGACAGTTGCCCAGAGACGCACAGCTCGCGCTCATCCAGCTGGGATGTAGACTAGGCTGACACGACTTACCAACTCGGTACCATCAACCGTTACTGAACACTGTAAAACCATTGTAACTGAGAACTTGGCTGAACCTTATACCTTCCTGTAAACGTCTTCTCCAGTTACCGTCTCCTACCAAAGGATTTACTATATTCCTGTTCGTCCTCTCATGTTATTTATTATTCTTCCTTCTGACTTTACGTTCTCAAACTTTAACAACAGCTCTCCCTATCACCCATCCTCCACGAACCTACCAATGCTTCTCTTTCCCTGTCGTTTCCTTTTTCCTAATCTTTTTTCATTATTTTTCTCTCTGTTTTTCCTTTTCTTTTTCTATTTTGACTCTCCCTGAACTTTCTCTCACTTGATTTCTCTGGACGTACTTCTCATCTCCTTTTTACAACCAGTCTGACCAATTGTCTGCGAGCACGACTCTTGAGGAACTTAGTTGCACCACAGTCCTCGGAACTAGACAACCTATACTCCCTACAAATTTAACCAACACCTAACCGCCCGCCAGACTAACTACAGCTACAGCAGTCGAGCGAATAGACCTACTACATCATAATCCACTGAAGACCTCGAACCGTTCCGCAAGATCTATAAGTCAGTGCGAAGAAATTAGTTGGTTTACACTAGCTCATGAAAAGATATTGGACCTCATTCAATTTGTTTGCACGACAATATTGACCTTCGTTTTTTCGATTTGTGTCACCATCGTATTTCGTTTGGGATAGAAACTGCTGTTGCCGTCAAAATTGAAGGTTTGTAAATAAGTTTTATACATATATTCTGTTGTAGAGAATCATTCCGCCAGGGTTCACTTACCGTTTGAATATACACTCGTTGTTTGGAAACCAATTGTTTTGAATTTGGTTGGTTTCGGTTTTGGTGTATTGTTGGTATAAGTATTTATGGTTCATGTAATAAGCCTAATTATATTAGTTACCAGGCACCTTAACCTATGTCGGAGGAGAAAAGGCTAGAATGGGATTAGGATCAAGCGTTGTATCGACTTTTGATGCATTAGGAGTTGAGGGTAAGACAGGGGCTAAGAACACTGTTGGATTACTGGAACCCAGGGACATACAAAGTAATTTTGCATTGGATTCGAGAAGTCTTTTATCTTCGATTGTGAACAACATCCCTTTACCAAGAATAGAACTGATGTACTTTGATGGTCATCCCTGTCAGTACTGGTTGCCTATGAGTCAGTCTGGAAGTGGGATAGAGACTAAACTTACTGACAAAGGCCAAATGTTGACATGTCTCCTATACTTTCACAAAGGGCAGGCAAAGACAGCGATAGAAGCATGTGTTTTGCTGTCTGCTGTCTTCGGATATGACAGAGCTAGGGAAATCCTTCGTGATTTGTTTGAACAGGAGCATATGATTGCTCGATCACTTACTGATGACGTGATTGGAAATAGACAGTCAGTGGAGAGTACTGCTGGGGCTATGAACGGGTTCTCTGTGAAGCTTAGGAACGTACAAATAACATTGTCCCAGACTGGCTCTGTTACAGACTTGGATTTGCCGGCCAACTCGGAGGCTATTCTCAGTCGGGTACCTATTATATTTACATGATAGATGGTCTGACATAGCAGACAGGATTTTGGTTACTTGGAGCGAACCCGAATTCGGGGACTTTGTACTCTTTGTTGGGGAGGGAGCTAGAGTAGTTCGGTCGAGATACGACTTGTTGAAAAGACGCAACTTGGAAAGTGGTCAAGTGAAAAGTTCTGGCTCACAATTCAGCAGTAAACCCCACTACAATTTGGTGGGAGATGCCACTCGACATGGATAGGACCACATGTACTGAGTTTCATCTTACCTCATGACTCCCACAGTCTACGTGAATGTACGATACTATTGAAGATGCCGATTGACAAAAGAGGATGGGTAGTCAAACAACTTGGTGTCTGCTACAATTGTTTAAACAAGGGTCACATAGCTAGGTTTTGCAATTCCGGACTTAAATGTAAGTTTAAGGATTGCAAAGTGAACCATAACTCTTTGTTGCATGTGACAGACAATGAAGCCAATGTAACTGGATCAGTAACCCACTTCACAAAGGAAATAAGATCTCCTAAAGTAAACTTGGGAAGTGTTCCTGTGAGATTGACCGGTCCATAAAGGAACATAGAGACCTATGCATTGTTGGATAAGGGATCAGACATATTATTGATATTGGGAAACATCGTCGAAGGCCTAGGCCTTATTGGTTGGAAGTTCTCCGTGGGTATGGTCAAGGCTACTGGGACCTATTAGCGCAAGTGCTTGGGAGTAAGTGTGGAACCCTACTCGCTGGGTGGACAGGGTTCGGTGAAGGTACAAAAGGCTCACTGTGTTATTCACTTACCAATATCAGGCGCGCACACTCTGTGTGAGCGACAAATTAAGGTCTGGAGCCATTTGAGAGACATCAAATTACCTCGATTACATACTGATACTGTTGGAATCCTAATCAGATGTGATGTTCTGGATGCACATTGAGCCCTGGAACAGCGTTTTGGAAATAGAAATCAGCCGCTTGGAGTAAGAACCCGTTTGGGTTATGTTGTATTTGGCCCGAAGCAAGATAAGTCCTCATGTTGAGTTGCCTTTTGCCAGTGTTTGGATAACTGTAATGTGTCAAATGATTTAGAGAGTTTATGTGACCACGAGTTCAAGGATGTTAACAGTTCTGGTACGATACTTCCCGTGGAGGATAGCAGAGAAATTGAAATTGTGGATCGTCCCTCTAGGTTAGTCGATGGACTGCCATCGGGATCAGACAAACCTAGTCTACCTGAAGTGGCTAAACGTAAACTTGAGTGTCTAAGAGGAAGATTAACAAAGTATAACGATCTACTGGAGATGTAAAGAATTTAGCATTCTTTTTGAGGTATGTTCGAGATTTGGAGCTAAGGTCTTCGCTGCTGCAACGCACGTAAGCGAAATATTCTTGCAATTCAGAATTCTGGAGCATGACATCAGCGTTTCGTCTCTTGCCCGGGGGGAGGCGTGGTAACATGAACCAAGGGACTACTGATTGTCAGTTGACTACTCAACAATTTGGTGTGGTCTCGTCGCCTTTCTATGCGAACTACGCGCTCAGGAGGACCATTGACACTAATGTTTACTATGCAGTGTAAACATTAGTTCGCAGGAGGATACTTTTCTTCATAATTAGAAATGTAATTTCCCGATAGTCTACCTTCTAAATATGTTCTTCCCTAACCATTAAATACAAAGGAAGTAAACAAACTTCTGGTTCATTCTTTAGGAGTCTGTCCTAATTGTATTCCTTTTTCTTTGCCTATTCTTCATCCATTTAAACTATCTCACCCTGCCAACTGATGACAGTCGTCACTTCACAGAAAATTAGGAAGCATATATCCCTACAGTGCCGGTACTATTTAACAGCCGTCTTCTGTCACATCCACCTAGGTTACTGTAATTGTAACTGGTGTACCAGTTATCCAACAACAATTTGTCGCAGTGATAAGTTGGGTCTTGCGAAGAAATAAGCAGTGCAAATATTTTTCCGGTTTCAGCATGATGAGCATCTAGGTGTAACTTCACTCTTAATAGGATTGTGTGGAGATTGCAGCCTAGTCCTATCGCACTAGTTAATTGTCCATGAGACATGCGGCTGTTCCCATGCTCTGGACTTTCCGCAAGTGTCTGTAGTAATCAGAGAGATCCTTCCCAGAATAAAAATCCTACAGAATGGCCACACACTTCCCTTGAATGCTATTCGTTTCTTCGAGATCACTTAAGATTCATTCACGATTGTCAAAATTGTATACTTCTACCATGATTGTTGACGATTGGCGAAAAGGTCATTACAACAAACTGCTACACATTATTATCAAACGATATGTTTGCATTCTTTTTCAGTTCGTCAAGCAATATACAAGACTATTAGTCTTCTTGTAACGTTACGCTGTTTTGACGAATTCTGTGTTTATCTCTGTTACTTCCTGACAACTCGACGAGATAATGTATATTAGGAAGATTTGGAATGGTAGTGGTTACATATAGTACTCCTTGCACTAACGCAGCCATTTGCAAATGTCTTCGTTTCCTCTCTGTTACTGTCTTGATTTCCTCTTGACTGGCTCTTCATACACTCTTATCAGCAGCATCCCCTGTAATACGCCTGCGTTGTCCCCTGCGTTGCTCTTGGCAGAAACCTTACCCATTGCCGGTAATTCCCTATGATTCCTGCCACCCTCTCCATATATACTACTTATACCCGTTGTTATCAGCAACGCCCACTACAATAGCTTTGTCTTCTAAATTACTTATAGTTTCGCTTATCATAACTGTTAATCATTACCTCTTATTGTGCAATTTGTGGCTAATGGAAATTGTATGCTAACCTTCTTGGTATCAACATATACAAGTATCTGCTTTCCTAAAACTAAACATGGAAACACCGATTTTGACTGGATAGTCCAATCCCTCTTTCTTTACAAGGGTTACTACCTAGTAAAAGTAATCGTATCTTCTCATCGTGATTGATCATCGCCACGACAACTTGGTTTTATAAGTCTAGCAGATACCACTGAATTGATATTAATCATACTAATTTTTAATTTATTTGGGCTCGAAATTTGAGTTGATAACATCAATAGCCGTAGCTGTTACGTCATAAAAAACACAAGATTAGGCATTATTGCGTATTTGGATACATCTGTGCCGTTGGCATCGATTCTCCACCATATCACCTAAAGATTCCAACCTCTGGTTTCGATTGTCACATAAACTCCAACTGGGAAGTCTGCTTTTCCCTAATTGGCTTACACCAATGGTCAAAGACTTCATGCACTCATGCCATATATCAGTTTGACTGCCACATTGTACTTCAACCAGCATTGTGCGACGAGGCAGACAGTGGCTAGGCAAAGTTCATAATCACATCAACTGACTTACCTCTCCTCCCTAAAACTCTATACCTGATTACAGCGTTACTTATGCAGTGACCACGAAACACGTCCTATGCTAAGAAGGCAACGGGGGTCAAACACCTGAAGCCTTTAGTGGTCAGGTTTTACCGCCGTATAGTAGGACAGAGCGGACTGCAGTACAGTACACTGGACCCTAAATAAACAGTCGGATATCGTGGCGGCACCACAGATGGTGTAAGTTGTCAAAGGCCAACCAAGCCTTTTGTATCCATGCTGAGATTTCGTCGACCACTGACCCACTAGATATAGCTCATTGCCTACTGTGCACAAAGTTGGTGAGTTGATTTTCATTGTAGATTCAATTTTCCAGACAAAGATTTATGTATGCAGTTAGGAAGTATACTGTAATTTGGTATTGAAACATAGAGTCTCGTGTTACGGTGAACGCATATCCCTTTGTATAAAATTAGAAAAAAAACAGCATCGTAATATGCATAGTTATTTTAACATTTCTTGAGCCAAACAGGAATTCTTGTTAAGACTAGGTATTCATTCTGGGTCAGGTTCTTGAACACAAATACGCTCATCAACGCAAACTTCACTTTCTGAGCTCAAGGGCATATTCAACTCCCTCAACCAAGTGCCCTCACAGTGCTGAGGGAAATACCGAGCAAGTATATCTCACTGTTCGACGTGCTGTTTTCGAACACCCATCGATGTGTTAGAGCCTGTGATGATGTGTCAGGTGGGTTACGTTGAATGGTTTGCGTCAAGAATGTCCACTGTTTCCATTCTTACTTAACGTTGTCATAGAAATACGTAAGGAGGGATCCCTCATCTGACTCTACAGGGGTTGATCTTGTGACAGGAGATTGTTGGTATACGTTAAGTACACAAACAACATAATGTGGTTATTTACTTAACCTCTCTAGGCCAATTTGGTGAGTCTGCGGCATTCACCCTTCACATTTCTGAAGATTCGATGACTAGTTCTCAGTGTTGTAGGTGCAGGCATAGCATTAAGCACTAGGGCAGAAATCTCGCTACTAAACTGGATCCCAGTTGGCAGTTGCCTATGCGCTGTCTGAGTGAATGGCAAAGTGAGAAGTAATAGGAATAGTAAAACTCGTCGTTGTCTCTTTATAATATCTGCTTACCCACCCACAGACGGCAGTTCGAATGAAGTGAAGGATGAGTTTTACCGAAAACTGTCTAGCCTCCTTCCTAAAGCCAGACTTGGTTGTTGTTGTTGTTGAAGGTAACTCCAATGAACAAATGGATATGCTGAGTCAGACAGAAGCACTTTCTGAATCCCGGCTAAACGAACAGATAACGGTGATTGCTCAGATAACCGTTTATTTCTAGTCAGTACAAACTCCAGGCATAAAGAAAGGCGCTGTCTGACGTGGCGTTCACCGAGCTCAACTGAACGACGAACTCAGTTAGACCAAATTGCTACCAGTCATCGCTGGAGAGGGTCGGTGGGAGGCTGCCATTCTTTCTGACTCGCGTGTTTGGATAGCAACCAAGCGCTAGTTCGAGCACTTATATGTCTGCGTCTCAGTTGACGTATAAAAACTAGCAACAAGACCATTATGAGTGCAGTTGGACAATGAGAGCACGAAAACCGCTTTCCGTGAGAACCTGACTGGACAATTATTGGAATAAAACACTATCACTCATCTGGAAGAAGCGTAATACCATCTCCAGTCTGCTGTAAAAGCAGCGTTGAAGACCGCAGCCCACTGTAAAAGAGTGGTTAACAAGAGGCAGTGGATATCAGCAGCCTCTTCTGAATTAATGGATGCAAGCTAACGCATCCCTCCAGACTTCGAGTACATTGAAGAGCAAACATAACTCAAACATAGACTGACAAAACGTCTTCGCAGTGACCCCAACTAGTGGTGGGCAGCAAAAGCTGAAGAAATGGAAAGGACAGCGGTGGTAGATAACAGTAGACAATTATTTAGACGAAAGGAATTTCCAATAAACTACAGACATTCATCAACGAGCGTAGGCAGTTGTTGATGGATATCTGCAGTTTGTTG